TATTTTTAAATTTTGTACAATATTCAATATGGTTGTAATAGTTAATTAGATTTAATTTTCTTGCAAAATCCCCATTTGTAAATTTGTACACCCCCTCCCCTATTGATGTAATAGCTTAGTATTTTTATTTTCCGCAATTTAATGTTTTATATATATATGCTAGTAAATTAGGGTTTGTATGGAAAGATTAAAATCAACAAGTTAGCAAACCCTAATTCAAGACAAAACAATGCATGTAAATCAACACACTTGCACAATTACACCAGAGTAAATCCACTTTGTTGTCTTACAAAAATGACCATGTTATGCATGTGAAGTATCTTAGCAAAAACAATCAAAAATACAAGATCATAGTCCATCGGTGACGCTATCCAAAGTCGCCTTTCAAAAATGATCTTAGTCCCTCAAAGAGAATTGCTAAGATATTTTCACAACATTATTATCATGGCTATACGATGACCCATGCCCGTCTCTTTACATCCAAAGATAAGGGTTCTTACCAAATTAATGGTAAGATAGCAATATCAAAGAAAAGGAAGAAATAAACTAAGACTTTTGAGTAGGTAGAACGTTCCTAGTTGCTTGCTCATTTTCAAATCAGAACATCCTTGTTATTTTCAAAACAAACACCAACACTTTCAAAACATCTTTCAAACTTGAAATATTTTCAAAAGATCAACAATTTGTATACCTTCTTACGAACGAGAACTATTACAAAGTTTGCCTAAACGATGGCACCTTTTCAAAATACTTTCAAAAACCACATAAAACATATTTTGAAACAAAATCAAGTAACAAAAGCAAGTAGATAACTACAGATGAAAAGGGTGCTAATACCTTCCCTTTTCATAATCTACCCCCTGAACTCAAGAAACAATCTCAAAGGTCTTTCCTGTTCTTTTCAGCCTTTCCTTTTGGATAAAAGAAAAGTCGGTGACGACTCTTGCTAACCGCAACATTTACGATAAAATGTAAAAAAACCAAGTCAGTTCTCCCATCGTGGTACACTCTCCTCTGGCTATATTTTCTTCTTCTGACTTCCTTTCTTTGTTTGACCAATAATATTTGGCATAGTGACCAAAGTTTTTTCAATAGTAATACTGGACATTCTTCTTGTCAGACTTCTCCTTTCCCTTCTGGACATTCTTCTGCCTATCATAGTTTGAAACTTCTGACCTTTGACCACCGTTAGTTTTCTTCCTGGCTTCTGACCAAGTTTGCTTCTGATACTTCTTACCAGAAGTTGCTTTCAGAGTCTGCTACTCTACGTCCCTCTTAGAAGTTCTCTTAGTCATACGCAACTCATGCGCCTCTAGACTACTTTGCAGCTCTTCAACTCTCACGGTGCTTAGATCTTTGGAATATTTAATTGCTACCACAATGTAATCAAATTGAGAAGTTAAAGATCTCAATACCTTCTCTATGATCACTTGTTTAGAAAGAGTTTCTCCATAAGCTTTCATCTCATTAGTGATCACAATCACTATAGAGATGTACTCATAAACCTTCTCGTTGTCCTTCATGTTGAGATTCTCATATTTCTTTCTAAGAGACTGAAGCTTCACTTTCTTCGTTAATGCGCCACCACTGTAAGATCTGACCAGTGTGTCCCACACAACCTTTTCTGTTTCAGAGTCGGCAATCTTCTCAAACACATTCACATCCACACACTGATGGATGTAGAACAATTCCTTCTGATCTTTCTTTCTTATCGCCTTCTGCATTATCTTCTGTGCTTCTGTCGCGTTTGCTGCTAACGGAGCATATGCATCAGTGACAACATGTAACACATCTTGAGAACCAAACAACACACACATTTAGATCTTCCAACGATTCCAGTTTTTGCCATCAAACACTGAAAGCTTGGAATTGATGTCGTTGTTTCCTCATCTTTAACCTTGTACAGTTCACTCAAAAGCTCACTAAAATACAGTGTTTCCAAAATCCCACAAAATCAGAAAAATGTGATTCTCAATCACACAATACCTCACTGTTCACTCGTGTTTCCCGTGTTCCCGTGGATTTTGAATCGGAGCTCTAGATACCAATTGTTGGTGCACAAAGGAGAGATGAAAGACAAAAGAAATATATTAAATGACGGCTACAAAATAAGGAGTAATGAATAATTACATTGACCTACTACTAGGTTATTTATACACAAAATTAGGGTATAATAAAATACTAAAATACCCTCTAACAAACTTAGTCAATAAGACATTCCTAAAATGTAAATTATTTCCAACAGAAAAAACGTTTAGTCCTATAAAAGCATTACAGATTTTTTCTGTCTTGCAATCCATCCCAAAGAATGATGCAATTTTGAGTTTGGTACAGCTACAAATAAGTAAGGATTAAGGTAAAATCTGTTTGTTTTTTATAGTGTAATCTGATTAGTAGACTCCTCGGTTATATCGTAACATTGAAGGATTAGTTAATTTATTTTACAATTTTAATCAAAATAATACATAAACTACAAAAGTTAGGATTCAAAGTGTGTCTAGAATAATTTTACCTCTCGGATTTATTAGAAACCGATGTAGATTGATACTTTTCCAATTAAAAAAATATAATACATGACATGCCTAAGTTTAATATTTCGTTGTTTTTCTGATTGACGTAAAATGCTCCGTCATAAAATGTGTTATTTATTATAGTGTATGTACACAATTTCTCAAATATGAATCGTGTAACAATGAAATGTTTTTGAGTTTAAAGTGAAGTTTATTTTTGTATTAGAGGTGTAAGATTGAGAGACAAATTTCTTAGAAAGAAAAAAAAATCTATTAAGAAATCCAGATTTTTTAAAGATATTTTAAAATAGATTATTGGATGTCAATGGTATAAGAATAAATAGCATGTATACTTATTCTTTTAATAAAAATATATATTTTGCTAGCTCTTTTAATAAGATTGATCTACTGAGAGAAATAGTTTAGTATACCTTAATGGTCAGTCAAAATAAAAATAATAAGAGAGGTGTATTTAACAGAGACGTTTCAAATAGATTTAATTTAATAATAAAATTTATTAAATAAAAATTAATAGAAAATCAAAAATTAAGTTAAGGAATTAAAAGTATAACTAAACTTTAAAATGACTCTTAGATGATTGCTTGCATTGCATCATCTTTTCCGCATATTTTGAGAGAATTGTTTCACAATATTGGTAGCATTTCAATAAATTAAAACATAACTTATGAAGTCTTGAATCCAACTAGCTTAAGAATCAAAAGTATTGCGTTCAAGTAAATTTATTTTCTATTATGTGTCAGCTATTCTACTCCAAAATCCAAATAGCACGAGTTTTATTTGTTTAAGAATCTCAAATAATGTTAAATAGAACTTTGTGCTTAATTATTCATGTCTCATACAAGAATGCAGATTTGACATAGCTATCATCATTTTCACAGTAAACAGTCTGCTAACAGTGGCAAACACTTATATACATTCTACTAACAGGTTAAGTTAAAATCTATAAAAGCATTGTGGTTAGTAAAATATAGAATTTCAACTAAACCAAGTATGTAGAATCAGTTGGATTTGAGCAAGGAAAAGAAACTAAGTTTGATGCAACAAAGGCGAAGTAAGAATAGAATTTTAATAGAAGGCCAGAGAAATTTTCACTTCAAAAGAAGATACTAAAACAGTGACCAAAGTTATTAGAGTTCACTGAAATTAGAGAACAAAACCTTCTATTTTATTCAAATTTCTAATGAATTGTTTAGTCAAAGTCATGTAGTTGTGAACTTGATGAACATGCATAAATTCATCCGAATAATTAACCACAAAAATCATGAGAATACAATCCAACTACACATGTATAAATAACAGTGAATCACACAAAAAAGCTGTCAATGGATAGAATGAATACGAGTGTTGCTCTAGAAGCTTTTCATTGTCATCATACCTCAATAATCCAACAACACTTTTTGTCCGTTGGAATGAGATTGGGAATAGAATCAATAGATAGAACATGAGTCTTGGTCCAAGACTCATCCACTTTGTTATCTTTGAGGTATTTTCCTCTGTAATATATGTACATATTTTCACTTGTCTTTTTCAGACTTACGCACTAAGTAAAGAACCAGTCATGAACAGGTATACAAAAGTTATGATATTTCTCACAGTATACAATAGTTAAGCTAATTGTTTATTTTGTCAATGACACCTAGTAAGAAACAAACCCTTAATGCACTTTAAAACTTTTGTTTTCCGTTATTGTAATGGAAAATGCTTTAAAACCATCTCATTAACACAATATAATATCCCCCACCTGTTTGTTTACATAATTTCTGCTATACTTTCATCATATCATCATATCCCTAATAAAAACAGGTCAAGTTAAAATCAGATATGCACTCTTTTTGATACAATGGCAAAGTCGGTATAAAATTTCAATGGGAGGCCAAAGAAATTTTCACTTCAAAACAAGATATATACAACAACTCTAATCAAACTTCAATAAAAATCTCCAAGTTGTAATTCTAGAACTATTTAGCTAGCTTCATGAGCTGGTTTAGTTTTTTCATGTTCCAAATTCATTTAATTGGTCATGTATATTGTATAGATCATTAGTTTGAAATTAGTTATTATTTCTAGTTTGAAACACCGAGAAGAGAACCGCCAAAATTATTACAGTCCACCGAAATTAGAGAACAAAACCTTCTAATTCATTCAAATACATGTGTAGTCATGATCAAATTTTTAAGGAATTGCTGAGTCAAAGTCATATGGTTGTGATGTTGGTCACATAAACTCATTGGAATAACTTACCTTATAAGACAATTTCAAGCAGTAATCAAAACATATATTAGAATAAATTCCAGCTACATACATAAATAACAGTGAATCACACAAACAAAGCTGTCAATGTTACCAATAAAACAACATATGATTCAGAAGAACCTCATTCTTTTGTTTGTGTAAAATCTACTTAAGCACTTCACCAAAGACTATACATACAGAAAATAGTGAAGGAGAATATTTCACAACCTCATCTTCTCAAGCTTGCGTGTTATCACCATCACCAGGGAGTGAAAGCAAAGAATCTATACACATAGTCACTTTGCATCTAAGATCGTATTTAGGATATGAATGTAGATCTAGAAATCGTCCTTTTTTATCAAACTTGACCAATCCATCGTCTTCATCTACCCCAATAATATCACCACTTTTAGTACAGCACAAAGGAAAAAAGGCTGCCTTACGGCAAATGATGAGATCAAGAGGAAGAACAAGAATGATAGTCCAAGAGGAGCTCACTTTGTATTCTTTCATGACCCATATTTGAACCGTATCTTTTCCATAATTCTTAGTATATAGACTGAGAAATTCTCCATATACCCACAAACCACCACATTGCAAAGGATCACCGTGAGAATCACTAGGCAAATGCATATAGGAAAGTTTCCTTTCCATTAAATCAAATGCAAGAATAACATCAGTTATACAATAAGCCAACCAATGAATAGCCCCATTATAGAGACACCCACCTTTGGGCCCATCCTCCAAGGTATAAGGGAAGTGAGGACCCTTAACTTGTTTCCATGCATTAGCTTTTAATGAGAAGTACTCCAAGTGTAATGGAGGTTCTTCTGAATAATCATGATAAACAACCAAGTAATCATCAGTTGAATGGTCATACCCAAAACCATAGAAATAATCAGCTTCATCTAAGTTGGAACTAAAAGGAGATAAAGGTATTTGTTTGTGAACTCTAGTGGATGGATTCCATAGATACATGTTTAAGGAACAGCAGATAAGTACGAAGCCTCTACATGAACCTTTAACTTCAAAAGCAGTAAAATCCTCTGGAAGGTTGAGTGAAAGACAAGCACTGTCATTGTGAATCGATGCTTCAAAATCGATGGATAGAGATTCATGAGTTGATGATATAAATAGAATTCTACGATTGGTTGTGAGTTGAAAATGTGAATTTGCAAAGTGGGAGTCATGAGATATAAGAGAAAACCATGATTTACAAACACATTTGAAACGTAAAAGAGACTTAACTGGTAACCACAGTAAGATTTGAATGATCAATTCGTGAGGCAGAAACATGGTCAATCTTCTTTTACTAATGTTGTTTCCAACTAGCGGCATTCTCAGTTTTATGAGTTCCAGCGTCTCTAGGGTTAAAGATGAATTGGGCTCTCACCCCAACAGCCCAGTTATATTTTACTAACACATACCCAATTTGTTTTCTTATTCAAACTAAAATTTTCTTTTTCCACTAGAAAAACTAAATATTTTTTAAAAAATTGAATACGGTAGCCGCAGTTTAGTTTTAAAACATTCTAAATTTTAAAAAAAAAATCGAAATATTACTTAAATTTTTTGTAATAGGAGTGTGAGATTTGACAATATAAAATAATTCTACCTCAAAATTCACATTTTCATTGAATCTTTTCTAAAACTACTATGGGGAATAAGTTACCTAAACCAATCATTTTCTAGAAGAAAAATATTAATTTGACTATAGTTGTAATTTATTAAAAAAATAAATTATTATATATAATTGAAATATTAATGTTAAAAATATTTATTAAACTTAGTCCACATCATCAAAAATAGAGGGACGGAATAAAATTTTAAGAATTATTAAATATAGTGATTAAAAAACTGGTTTTAGAAATGGAGATAGTAAAATTATGGAATCAATCACTTTTGTTAGAATGACAGTGTTGTGGCAGGGACAAAAAGATAATTACTTTGATATTCATCAGGGACTTAGACTAGAAGACTCTATATATTCTTTCTGATAAGTCTTTAGTCAAATAAGAGACCTAGTTTTTAGGATAGTTTGTTGAATTGATTTAGTCAAGTTTGTTTCCTTATTTTTTTTTTCCACTAGAAAAACTAAATATTTTTTAAAAAACTGAATACGGTGGCCGCAGTTTAGTTTTAAAACATTCTAAATTTAAAAAAAAAATCGAAATATTACTTAAATTTTTTGTAATAGGAGTGTGAGATTTGACAATATAAAATAATTCTACCTCAAAATTCACATTTTCATTGAATCTTTTCTAAAACTACTATGGGGAATAAGTTACCTAAACCAATCATTTTCTAGAAGAAAAATATTAATTTGACTATAGTTGTAATTTATTAAAAAAATAAATTATTATATATAATTGAAATATTAATGTTAAAAATATTTATTAAACTTAGTCCACATCATCAAAAATAGAGGGACGGAATAAAATTTTAAGAATTATTAAATATAGTGATTAAAAAACTGGTTTTAGAAATGGAGATAGTAAAATTATGGAATCAATCACTTTTGTTAGAATGACAGTGTTGTGGCAGGGACAAAAAGATAATTACTTTGATATTCATCAGGGACTTAGACTAGAAGACTCTATATATTCTTTCTGATAAGTCTTTAGTCAAATAAGAGACCTAGTTTTTAGGATACTTTTTTGAATTGATTTAGTCAAGTTTGTTTCCTTATTTTCTTTTTCCACTAGAAAAACTAAATATTTTTTAAAAAACTGAATACGGTGGCCGCAGTTTAGTTTTAAAACATTCTAAATTAAAAAAAAAATCGAAATATTACTTAAATTTTTTGTAATAGGAGTGTGAGATTTGACAATATAAAATAATTCTACCTCAAAATTCACATATTCACTGAGTCTTTTCTAAAACTACTATGGGGAATAAGTTACCTAAACCAATCATTTTCTAGAAGAAAAATATTAATTTGACTATAGTTGTAATTTATTAAAAAAATAAATTATTATATATAATTGAAATATTAATGTTAAAAATATTTATTAAACTTAGTCCACATCATCAAAAATAGAGGGACGGAATAAAATTTTAAGAATTATTAAATATAGTGATTAAAAAACTGGTTTTAGAAATGGAGATAGTAAAATTATGGAATCAATCACTTTTGTTAGAATGACAGTGTTGTGGCAGGGACAAAAAGATAATTACTTTGATATTCATCAGGGACTTAGACTAGAAGACTCTATATATTCTTTCTGATAAGTCTTTAGTCAAATAAGAGACCTAGTTTTTAGGATAGTTTGTTGAATTGATTTAGTCAAGTTTGTTTCCTTATTTTCTTTTTCCACTAGAAAAACTAAATATTTTTTAAAAAACTGAATACGGTGGCCGCAGTTTAGTTTTAAAACATTCTAAATTTAAAAAAAAATCGAAATATTACTTAAATTTTTTGTAATAGGAGTGTGAGATTTGACAATATAAAATAATTCTACCTCAAAATTCACACTTTCATTGAATCTTTTCTAAAACTACTATGGGGAATAAGTTACCTAAACCAATCATTTTCTAGAAGAAAAATATTAATTTGACTATAGTTGTAATTTATTAAAAAAATAAATTATTATATATAATTGAAATATTAATGTTAAAAATATTTATTAAACTTAGTCCACATCATCAAAAATAGAGGGACGGAATAAAATTTTAAGAATTATTAAATATAGTGATTAAAAAACTGGTTTTAGAAATGGAGATAGTAAAATTATGGAATCAATCACTTTTGTTAGAATGACAGTGTTGTGGCAGGGACAAAAAGATAATTATTTTGATATTCATCAGGGACTTAGACTAGAAGACTCTATATATTCTTTCTGATAAGTCTTTAGTCAAATAAGAGACCTAGTTTTTAGGATAGTTTGTTGAATTGATTTAGTCAAGTTTGTTTCCTTATTTTCTTTTTCCACTAGAAAAACTAAATATTTTTTAAAAAATTGAATACGGTGGCCGCAGTTTAGTTTTAAAACATTCTAAATTAAAAAAAAAAAATCGAAATATTACTTAATTTTTTTGTAATAGGAGTGTGAGATTTGACAATATAAAATAATTCTACCTCAAAATTCACATTTTCATTGAATCTTTTCTAAAACTACTATGGGGGATAAGTTACCTAAACCAATCATTTTCTAGAAGAAAAATATTAATTTGACTATAGTTGTAATTTATTAAAAAAATAAATTATAATATATAATTGAAATATTAATGTTAAAAATATTTATTAAACTTAGTCCACATCATCAAAAATAGAGGGACGAATAAAATTTTAAGAATTATTAAATATAGTGATTAAAAAACTGGTTTTAGAAATGGAGATAGTAAAATTATGGAATCAATCACTTTTGTTAGAATGACAGTGTTGTGGCAGGGACAAAAAGATAATTACATTGATATTCATCAGGGACTTAGATTAGAAGACTCTATATATTCTTTCTGATAAGTCTTTAGTCAAATAAGAGACCTAGTTTTTAGGATAGTTTGTTGAATTGATTTAGTCAAGTTTGTTTCCTTATTTTCTTTTTCCACTAGAAAAACTAAATATTTTTTAAAAAACTGAATACGGTGGCCCGCAGTTTAGTTTTAAAATATTCTAAATTAAAAAAAAAAAATCTAAATATTACTTAAATTTTTTGTAATAGGAGTGTGAGATTTGACAATATAAAATAATTCTACCTCAAAATTCACATATTCACTGAGTCTTTTCTAAAACTACTACGGGGAATAAGTTACCTAAATCAATCATTTTCTAGAAGAAAAAAATTAATTTGACTATAATTGTAATTTATTAAAAAAAAATATTATATATATATATATATATATATATATATATATATATATATATATATATATATATATATATATATATATATATATATATATATATATATATATATATATATATATATATATATATATATATATATATATATATATATATATATATATATATATATATATATATATATATATATATATATATATATATATATATATATATATATATATATATATATATATATATATAATTGAAATATTAATGTTAAAAATATTTATTCAACTTAGTCCACATCATCAAAAATAGAGGGGGCGAAATAAAATTTTAAGAATTATTAAATATAATGATTAAAAAATTAGTTTTAGAAATGGAGATAGCAAAATTATGGAATCAATCACTTCTGTTAGAATGACAGTGTTGTGGCAGGGACAAAAAGATAATTACTTTGATATTCATCAGGGACTTAGACTAGAAGACTCTATATATTCTTTCATTTCTGTTCTTTGTATGGAAAAGTTAACGCATTTGATCCTTGATGAAGTGGAAAAAGGCAATCGGGATTGCATAAAAGCTGGAAGGAAAGGGCCAAAATTTTTACATCTCTTGTTCGCTGATGACCTTCTACTTTTTGGCAAAGCGTCAATCAAACAAATTTAGAAAGTTAGAGAAGTTTTGAGAAAGGGGGACTGGGTTTAAGAAAGCTTAAACTCATGAATTGAGCGTGTCTAGCCAAGCTTTGCTGGAAATTCTATAAAGGTGAGTAAATGTTGTGGTGCAAGGTGATCAAAGGTAAGTAGATGACTTTATCAAGCTTGAAGATATAGTGCATAATATCAAATGCATGGATCAACAATATCAAGATAGTATGAATATGATGCACACAGTGAAAGCTTGTATCATGTCCGCTCAAGTAATAAGGTGGACTCCTCCCGAAGTGAATTGGGTGGCACTCAATACTAATGGGGTTTTATACCAAAATCTACAGGTTGGTTGCAGAGGTTTTCTAAGAGACAACAATAAAAATTGGATTTTCTGACTCATGAAAGCTATAGGAAGATGCTCAATACTGATTGCTGAAATGTGTGGCATTTTAGAAGGAGTTAAGATGTTGAACACCATCAACAAGTGGATAAATTGGATCATTCAAATGAATTTGGATAATGCTCAAGAGTGGATCAAACAAAATCTGCAGCAAAACTTGAGCAATCAAAAAGAGACAAACTGACAAGCGATATGGACCACGACTTGTCATGTTATCTGGTATTGGAGGAACAAGATATTGCACATATATGACTTTATCAAGCATGAAGATATAGAGAAAAATATCAAATGCAGCGTTGAACAATGAAAGCTTGTATCATGTTCGCTCGAGTAATAAGGTGAACTCCTCCTGACGAGAATTGGGTTCCCCTCAATACTTATGGGGTTGTATACCAAAATATGCAGGCTGGCTGCAGAGGTGCGCTAAGGGACAACAACAGAAATTGGATTAAGGGATTCATGAAATTTATAGGAAGATGCTCTGTACTGATTGCTTAAA